AAATCACTGTATAAAAAGAAACAGGATGCAGCCCAATGGCTACCATTAGAAGATAAAGTAGAAGCAAGGCCTTGGAAATGATGCTGAACTCAGCAAGAAAACAGAAAGAACCCCCCTTGCTTCTCTCAAGGACTGTTATCCTTTGGGCCTGGAGGATCGCCCCCTTAAGGTACGACCATCCCTCGTGGGCTCCCATCTCCTCTACCTTCTGGGCCCTTAGTGCCTCCCTCTCCTAATCTCATTGAAGTTGGCCCTTCTGAAGTCAAGGGCTTTAGCCTTGGTGTGAGCCCTAGACGCCCTGTGTTGGATAGTGAAATCCAGCAGGTGATGATCGCTATTGCCCAGGTCAAGGACCTGTGGTCCCTTCTCCAGGTCATCCCCCATGGCCAGGACCAGGTCCAGCAAGGTGTTCCCCCTAGTGGGGCTGTACACTTCCTGTATAAGGTGAAGGTCCTGTAATACAGCCAGAAACCTACGCGAGCGGTCAGACCTGGCTGTCTGCTCCTCCCAGCAAATGTCTGGGTAGTTTAGGTCACCCATGACAATAACATCCCTTGACCTAACCACCTCCATAAGCTGACTGGAGAAGTCCTGGTATAGCCTTTCCCCCTGGTTGTGTGGTCTGTAGTAGACACCCACTGTAAGGTCCCTTTCACCATGCCCCCCTTGTAGTTTGACCCATAGTGTCTCTGCCCGACCCTCCTCTAACCCATAGCTAATCCTTGATGATGTGAGGTGCTCTTTGACCTAGAGCACAACACCCCTACCTTTCCTCTCTGTCCTGTCTCTTCTATATAGGGTGTACCCCCGAATGCCCACCGCCCAGTCGTAGGTAGGGTCCCACCAGGTTTCTGTGACCCCTACTAAGTCTGGGTTCTTAATTGCAATCAGGAGGAATAGTTCCTCCTGCTTACACCCCATACTATTACTATTTCTTCAGTCCAGAGGGGATGTCTGTGCAGCTGCAAACCAGTTCAGCCTAGCCAGGTTGGACTAACCTGTGAAAATTGAATCAATTCAGGCTCAAGCTTTTTGAATGTCTATCCCTAGCCACAGACATTGTGACAGATTAAGGGTGGTATTCTAAGAGTTGGTTAGAAACAAATAAGTAGACCTTCTTAATTCTTCCTCTTACTATTGTTATCATAAACATTTGTAGAAAATGCATTAGCATGTCATCTAGGTAAACTGTGGTTGCTTATTATTTAGATATAACTTCAAGACTTTTGAGGGCAGGGACATAAAAAAAAGCAAGGATTGCAAAATATTCACTTGGTAAGTGAAATGATGGCTTTCATATTATGTTCTAACCGTGGTCAGGTATGTGCTCAGGTATGAACAGTGGCACATTTTTTAAGCGAAGGGAATGCCTTCTCCCAAATCCTGAGAGGACTAGTTTCAGCTAGCAACAGTTAAGAGGCCTCTCTCCTTCTGTAACCTCCTTATAATGTGGTCCCTAAACTTTGTTATTCAAAATACATAATTACCTTTGGCTGTGAAAAGCATAATTAAAGCCATGACTCTGCTACTTACACTAGGGTTGTCCTTTGTATTGGCACTTGTGTACTGGGGTTGGACATATTTGCATTCACAAATAAGAAGCCCAAAGAAACTGCTGGGCAATTGTTAGTCTTGCCCATTGTTGTGTCATTATTTATAGCCAGAAAATGATATTTAGAGATTTGCTTTTAGGAATTGGCTTGTAGGAAGAGTAAATACTGAATTAGAACAATAGTGCAGGGGAATGGCAAAAGGTAATTGGTTTATAAAAGTTTGCCTGTGACAAAGTTTCACATTCTCAATCTTTCAGCAGACACTCTGTCTGAAGCTAGCAGACAAGCAGGCACATACATTTTGGGAAATTGAAAACATGTATTTTTCCCTGAAAACCCATAACAAGAGATAAGGGACCCTGTAGCATTGGCATTACATCACAGTGACCAACTGCAAAGCCCCTTGGATTTCCGTTTTTGGTGGACTCACCACATTAGGAGGCCAGAGATGCCCAAATTAAGATGCTGATAAATAAACAAATTAAAATGCATGCATGTGATGTGTTTGTGGGAACAAAGAATTATGCTGACAGAACAGAACATGGACAGTATGGTGACCACAGGGAAACCAATCAATGATGCCTGGAAATGAAGGGTCATCAGGAGAAGAATACAAAAGGAGGGATTTTCAGAGCATCAGGGGGATCCTGAGGCCACCCTGGGCGCACAGTACACTACTGGCCTGTCTTGCTCACCCCACTGTGTGGGAGGGGGAAAGGTGGACATTGGCCCTCAACCTCCAAGACTGTTGACATCTGACATTCAGGCAAAGAACCACAGGGTGGTGCTCATGTACTGGCTAGGCATACCATCCCTCTGTGGAACCCTGGAATGGGTAGATAATTGGGAAGGGGGAGTGTTATTTTGTTAACTTGTCTGCATTACTCTTATCTCCTATTACTGTGTAGCAATAACATTTGCCTACTGTCACATGGAAGAAGTCAGGGTTGGTCTGAGGATTTGGGCCTGCCTGGAACAAGGTATCAAGACTGGGTCATAAATCCAGTGCCAACAATTATCTAGTTGTAAACTCTTCAGGGAAGGATGCAGTACATTTGTGTATCATCCAGTACAGTGGAGCATCACTGACTTCTTAGAGCATTATTATAATATAAGTAATAATTAACAGTAAGTAGAAATCTTGATGCTCCTTTAATATAAAGGAAATTCTATTATGTGAAATGTTTGATACATTAATATGCTATGGATTTTAATACCTTTGCTTTGCTTAATTTCAGAGAAAAAGCAAACAGAGATCATTTTTCTGTAGTAATATCCAGGTCTTTAAGTGTGTTAAGCTTCTCTGTATTTAAAATGTAGATATTCCAAGAGTTCAAGTTTGAAATCCGTTCTGGTGGTAGGTGAGACTGAGCATATTTGCAAATGAATATTTTTTTTTCTGAATGATATTTTCCCTTAAAAAATCTCTTATGGTTTACTTTTTCTAGCATTTAAACTGGATAAGCACAGAAACTGAGACAAACACATCTGTTTATCAGGCTTTCCTTTAGATTTTTTATTCATACTGTTAGGGTGACAATATTTGCATCTTGGTGAGCACTGGATTTCCAGCTGAATAAGGCTTTTATGTGTCTCAGCAGAGCTGCTGGTCACAAGGCAGGATGATATATTAAAAGTAACTTTGCAAATGCTTAGGCAAGCAGCTTCCTAGCAATGGGCTAGTGTGTAGGATATATGGTATAAGAAGAACAAGATGCAGCCCACCAGTTATTGTCAGGAGATAAAGCAGAAGCAAGACCTTGGAGATGAAGAAGGAGTTAGCAAGACACCAGAAAGAAACAGCAAGTGACCAGAGGAAGCCGGGGTCAAAGTCTTGAGCATGCGCTCTTAGCATAGAGGCATGTAAATGAATGAAATGCATAGGCAATTGCATGTTAATGAAGTAAACAGTAAACAGAGGCAGAGCTTGAGAGAGGAGGAGATATGGGTGGAACCAAAGGAGGGACCAAGGGGGAGTACATGTTAATGAGCATGAACCACGGTGTATAAAATGTCAAAAGAACTAATGTTCAAGGCTGCTCCCCATTTTCACAGGCTGTGTGTCTGTAAGGGAGCTCTCCCAAAGCTGTCTCCATTCTGAATAAAGCTGTTGCAAGCAGTGTGTGCTGGTGTTTGCTCCCTGCTTGCTCTGGCTAATGAGTAGCAGGATCCATGAGCAATTGGATTGTCATCTCCCTAGTCGTTGGGCACCACATGGAATCAGGGTCTAACACATACTACCATAAAGAAAAAACACATGTAAAGACCCAGCATATTCTCTGAGAAAAGCTTTGCAGTGGTTTGAAGGGTTTGGCGGATCCCATTCAGATATGTTCTTTGATAAGATTAAAATAATCCAGGCAACAAATTGTATGGGTCTGGTCATTTGAAGGGGTCAGGAAATTCCTCTTTAGAGATGGAAAGGGATTAGTGATAATATTTTCAGCTTTTCCTATCTTACTGCAGGAAATACTGTATTTATTGAAGCACTAAAGAAGATTCATTTAGAGCAGCATTATGTCAGTTTGCTATTTGCCAAAATAAAAAATATCTTAAATGTCAATAGACAAATACATGGCAGATATATGCAGTGTTAGCATCTCCAGCTGAAATGTTTCCATGCCATCAGTGTGTATACAAGAAATGTACAGTATAAATAAAGACAAACGAGAATGGAAATGGGCATTCACTCTAGTACTGAAGATCAAAATCTTTCCCTTCCTGCAAAATTCCACGCTGAAATCCTTCTCTATATGGACATAAACAGAAAACTGTTTTGAAACAAGGAGACTCTGATACAGATCCCCTGCCAGGCCCAAACTTTGTGAATCAAATTTATCTTTAAAACTAATCAACTTCTATGCAAAGCAAGCATGCAGATAATGGACAACTGCTATTTTGGGGAGTCTCCTGTCTCTCACACTAGACTAGAACATGGGGCTGATAGCAACCTGGTATCTTTGTGTCTAATAATGTTCTGAAGCAATACCACTCAGAAGTCAATTCAATCTCATGAGCATACATCTCAGCTAGGAGGGACAAGTCAATCTGTCAAAAACAGTATGTCTGGCTGGATTTCTCAGTACCTCATTTGTGGTACACAAAGTGGAAACAGTGTGGTATTCTAATGTAATGGGTGACTGTTCTTTGAAAGACATTTAATAACATGTATTATTTGATTTCAGATCTATTTTAGTTCATGTCTTTCCAGTTGATTTCTTGCAGTTTCCAAGGTGAGCTCCTTGTATGCATGTTTTGATTGTATTTAGTTGAGAATACTGTTTTTGATGAGAAGCTTATATAGGAAATAAGATGCAAGTGCAAGCCTTATTCTCTAGACAGCTGAAACAATTATTTCCTGACAAATCTTCCAGCTTTAAGAATTGTTTTCTGTGCTCTATCATATTTTGAACTGCATAGACCATTGGAAATGGTTGAGCTGTTCTCCTCTGCATTCATCTACCACACATTTCTTGAAGGACCCTCAACATTTTTTCCTAGTTTTCACCACTCTACTGTGATACTTAACTGGAATCCCAGAAGGTCCAAATAGGTAAACATCAAACAAGTAATGAGTCCCTGCATCCAGCCCTTTGATGGTCTCTGTGGTAACTGCTCTTTGTAGATTTCTGTCATAGAAATATTTGCACAGCACTTCCTCATATTTGTTCCTGGATTCTGGTCCTGAGCACCTGTCTGTACTCCTCACCTCTGTCCAGACTTGATCCTCTTCAATCCTTTTCTTGTACACACAGTACTTGCTCTGCTCTTGTGTTCCCAGCCAGGCAATGGTAACAGAATTGCAGGTCCTCAGCTTACTAAAGGACTTGATTTTTAAACTGTCTGGAAGATCTGAGAATAAGGGCTTATAGAAGTGAGAGGATACTTGAACTTTCACAGAGGTATTAGACTGTTCCACTGACCGCACTTGTACCAAATATGTGTCCATTAGTTTTCCTTTCAGTGAAAAAAGTTTCAGGCCTGCAAAGTTTTCTGATGCCACTATTTTATGGTTCCTTGTTATCTGAACCGATATTTGGCCACTACAAGACTGAAAGGTAAATTGGACTCTCTTGTGTCTAGCTTGATATTGCAAATTGTAGAACTTCCAGGTTTTTTTGTCCAGGGTGAGGTGAATTATCTTCCCATCCTTCAGCTCAGTAACTTTAGGATCAGGTTCCTCAAGTGTTCTTGCAAATGTTCCAGTGTAGGCAGCACTGGCATTGGTGAGGAGGTTGACCACAAAAATATCAAAGTAATACTGTGTGCTGGGACTAAGGTTGGTCACTGTATGGTGGTTCATGGTGCCCATGCATATCTGCCTGACTTGCCCATTATTGAGCTTGTTGATGACACTTAATTCTTGCTTGGACAGTATCATTACCTGTTGAGGATCTAGAAGATCTGGAGAGAGAGACAGAGCTAATGTTGGTGGCAATTTTATCCCAGATGATCTGATAGCTGTCTCTGCCGCACATAAGCTCTTGTAGTTGTGCTTTTCATTAAGTAGAAGACAGTACTGGATGTTTTCTTTATGCTGCAGTACTGATGGGCTATGTTTCCAAGCTAGAGTCACAATTGTATGTCCAACACCAACCACATCTATACGTGGATCCATTGGGAGTTCTGGGTAAAGATGCCCAGATGTTATGTCAGATGTTAAGTACACTGTAATGTGTGTATCTCTCTCAGTTGATAGGAACTCTATCAGGTAGATGGCAGAAAAAGAAGGCACACCCACATAAGTTTCCACAGAATTTCCTTTATAATTAAAGATAGTGGACACTGAGTTTGGGATCTTTTGAAATTTTGAGATGTCTTGAGTGTCATAATTACCTGCAGGTGAAAAGCAGATTTGTAATTTGTTTTCCTATCATGCTCAAACACAAACACATCACTTAAGTTTTCAGTTTTCTCATTCATATATCATTCCACTTTCCCTCTTCCTAAAAAAACAATTAAAAATAAAACATTATTAATGCTGCTACCAGTTTATTACAGTAAAAAATGTCACATGTTTTTTAATGTTGCAAAGATAAATGAATGTTTTTAAATGGATTATAATTTAAAAACCCAAATGGCAATTTTTTTTACCTATGTGGCACCTGATGTCATTACATTTTTTTTCTCTTGCAGTCAAAGGCTTTTCCCATATTTCACTTTGAAGAGTCTGATATTTTGTGCAACCTGAGGGATTTTTGGTTGTATTTTACACTACTGTATGTCTCCTATGAATAGGAAAAGCTGGATGCTTTGAAGGAATGCCAGTGAGCTCACTATTAACTGATTCTGTTTGCTAATTAACATTTTATTTATGGAAGCTTCACATTTTTAATATACATTTAAAATTAGTAACTCAAAACAAATGATTCTGGAAGTTATGAAAGGGAACAGAATTTTCTTATAACTTGAAGAAGATAGGGCAAGGTGGCACCTTAAGACTTCAGTCATGAGCTTTTGCAGGCAACAGCCTACTTCATCAGATGCTATGAATGAACCCATGCTTTTTTGAACTAATTACTCTGAAGTGCCAACCTGCCCTACCTTTTGCCTGACTTCAGACTAAGAAGGCTAACCACCTCCTCTACCCTGAAGTAAATGTAGTTGCAGTTGCCCCGTTTTCATTTTGCTAATCCACTGTATTCCTGGGGAAATTGAACTAATTGTGTGAATAGGGAATTTTTGGATTCGGATTCGGCCAATTCAGAGGACAGTGATTTGATTCAGAGATTTGGATCACTGTCTTGAATTGATTCGGCCAAATCAGCTTAGGAAGATTCAGTGCTGATTCAGAGCAATTTGGAGATTCGGCCATATACTATAGTGGGGGAGTCACTGAAATACCTATAACTTTGTCATTTTTTGGCAGATTTATATGAAAACAGCAGGGTGGTAGCCCCTTCTGAGGGCATGAAGCCTGGTAAGTTTCAACTACCTAGGTGCAGGGGTTTCTGGGAAACTGTACCTCAAGGTGCTGACAAGCAAAACTTGTGATGTGTGACTTTGTGTGTGTGTTAAGGCACAGAGGAGTGAAACCTGCAGGGATGGTAGCCCCTGCTGAGACCATGAAGCCTGCCAGGTTTCAAGGAGATAGGTACAGGGGTTTCTGGGAAATTGCACTTCTTCTTCCCTATATAGCCCTAGCCCTTATACCTCCAAGTTCTTCCTGGTACAGGAGCTCAGCAGGGAGATGTACTTCCCCTGCTGGCTGGTGAAAAACTAAACTGCCACCTCCGGCTCTGAAAGCGGGGCATTAAATGGCTGTTCTGTCCTGCCACATGCATAGTCCCTTGTAAAGGCATGAGGGAGGCCTCCCAGGTTTCAGGCAGAGTGGTGCAGGGGTTTCTGTGAAACTTCTCCTTAAACTTCTGAAAACAAAACTCATGTCACTTGTGTGTGTTAAAGGGTATAGATTGTAGCTGTGTTGGTCTAAGGAGATATCCCAGAAAAGCTTCTTAGCATCAATCTGATATCTTTTATTAGACCAACAGAATAATTGGAGAAATTCTTCTTTGCAAGCTTTCAGGTTTAAAAATCCTTTTTCAGGCTAAGGAAGAATCTAGCTCTTCCTGGATGGAAGGAATAGTAAAGAAGCCATAGGCTGGGCTGCAATTCAGGCAAGAAAGCCAGTCAGGGAAAATGGAAATGGAGGCATCAGGGGGTGAGACATAGGCTGGGGTAGGAGGGGAGGGGGATGTAGCAGGTAAAAGTGGAGAGGTACCTGGGGAGTCAGATGTCAAGCAGGTTGTAGTGTGTCATAAATCCAATGTCTATATTGAGTCCAGGATTTTCTGTATCTAGGAGGTTGATGAAGTGAAGTTCATAGGCCCGTCTGAAAAGTGGTTTGCAAATTTAAACAAGCACTGAACCTCGCTAACCTCATCACTAGAAGCCAACTTCCTACAGCCCAAAACACACCGAATGGATCCAGACCATGCCATGACAAGAAATGCAAAACCTGCCAACATATCTCCAGTACCTCCACAAACTGGACACCAGAATCTATTACAGACAAGAATACCCAACAACCTGTAGTGGCACGTTCCTCACAAGAAAACCACTCTGTCTCCAGTCTCTCAGTCCTGATCCTCAAAGGGAATTTACAAACCACTTTTCAGAGACAGGCCTATGAACTTCACTGTATCAATCTCCTAGATGCAGAAACTCATGGACTCAGTATAACCATTGGATTTTTGACACAATACAACTTGCCTGACATCTGACTCCCCAGGTACCTCTCCACTTTTACTTGCTACATTCCCCTTCCCTGCTATCCCAGCCTATATCTCACCCTGTGATGCCTCCATTTCCATTTTCATTGACTGGCTTTCTTACCTGCATTGCATGCCAGCCTCTGGCTTCTTTGCTATTCCTTCCATCCAGGAAGAGCACACAGACAGCCACTAGATGCTTCCTCCACTGCAACCAGCAAGCCTCAAGCCTTTAAAGATCTTACAGGTCTGGGCTTTCCTGATCCAGGACTGTGCATACATGTGGTGGCTAGAGATAATAAGGTGCCTCCTGCCTGCCTTTCACCAGGAAGATCCTCAGTCTTGGCATTTACTGGGGCTGCTGCATTGCTGGCAGTCCCACCAGGCCTCACAACCCTGGCAGGGTGCAGTTTTAGGTCATGCCTAGGACCTGGGGCCTCCTCCCTCCCCATAGCCCCAGCTCATACCTCCAAGTTCATCCTGGCACAGGAGCTCAGCAGGGATATGTTCTTCACCTGCTGGTTGGTGAGCTCTGAGAGCGGGGCATTAAATGGTTTAAAAAAAAAAAGGAAATAGGTGCAGACAGAGTGTGGAGGGTGGCACTCACTCCTTCTGCAGGTGGAGCTTGTGGAACCTCAGCAGTGGGAAGTTCACCTTGAAGAACACCAGCTGCTCCACTGAACCAGGATTCAGGGAGGACCAGTGGGGTGTCACAACTTCTCCAGCAATGCTGAACACCCTCTCACTTGGAACACTGTTTGGTGGACAGGACAGGTGTTCCTGGGCAACCATAGCTAGATTCTGCTACATCTGGTTGTGGCTTGCTCAATAGGCCAAGGGGTCACAATCCAGTCTCTCCATGTCCCTGGTAAGATAGGCAGGCACCGAATACTTGGTGCTACCTGCCTGAGGCTGGGGTCTGGTGCATCTGGACCCTCAGCTTTAGGAAAGCTGATTTAAATGAACTCAGGCGATTAGTCAAGGATGCAGTGCAGAGTAGGAGTTTTGAAATGATGGGAGCCCAAGAAGGGTGGCTGTGCCTTAAGGAAACTATGCTTCGGGCACAAAGCGAGACAATCCTGTGCGGGGTAAAAGAGGGAAAGGGGCCAGGAGGCTTCCATGGCTGACCGCAGAAATCCAGGGCAGCCTAAGGGCCAAAAGGGGAGCACACAAAAAGTGGAAACAAGGAGAGATCACCAAAGACAAATATACCTCCTCTGCTCGTGCTTGTAGGGAGGCAGTTAGATGGGCCAAAGCTACCATGGAGCTGAGGATGGCATCCCAAGTAAAGGACAACAAGAAATTGTTTTTTAGATATATAGGGAGTAAAAGGAAGGCCCAGGGAGGAATAGGACCCCTGCTAAATGGGCAGAAACAATTGGTGACGGACAGGGGGGACAAGGCTGAACTCCTCAACAA